GATCCAAGAGTGGTAGGGTGAGGAGAAACAATACAACAAACAAAAAGGGAAACTGAGAAATACATGGTAGGAAGAGGGGAGGGCTTTAGGCTGGAAAGGATCTGGAGGATGGGAAGGGGCACTGCCAAACTAAAATACAATGGTTTGTTACTGAGTACTATTTACGGGAAGACAACATCCTGACTCCTTGACAGCATATTGTGAGTAAAAACAGTGCATCCCAGGTAGAAATATGAGTGGAGGTTGAAAGACAGAAACAGGGAAGACTCCGATGAGAACAGATAGAGAGTCATTGGCAGGCTAACTGCAATATTGGCTCTCCAGTAGTGGTGGAATAACAAAGCTGAGGGCTAATGTGGGGTGACACAAAACCTATAACAATAAATGGTATCTCTGGAGGAATTCCAGAGACAGGAGGCAACTCTTCTATGGCTTGATTTACCCAACAAATATTCACATACATACAGATGTATGAATGCACGTGTGTCCACGTGCACATACACACATGTATCACACACACAAACACACACAAACTGCTTTCCCTAGAAGCACAATACTATAAATAAGGGAAATATTTCCCAAAGGGAAAGCCCAGCAGGAGCAGCAGCATTGGGACCTCACAGTTGTAGACCCCCCACTCCAATTTACAACTGGCCTGGGAAGAGGCACTGAGGAGGCAGAAGCCAGCCTTTGCAAAAACAGCAAAAAGGACCTGAGTCACAGAGGAAGGGTGCCTTACTCTAATACCTCTGCTTCTTATCTCCCGGTTCTCCTCCAACTCACCTTGGGCACCAAGAGGCTACAATATCAGGAGAGAAGATGGGTCCAGGACTTTTCTCTGAAACTATCATCTCCTTCTGAAAGGTGTGTGAGTAACAGGGTTGTTGGGGGGGTAGTTAGATCATGGTGTGGGAAGGCATGTGTGTGCATGTCTCTATGAGTACACATGCACACATATGTGTATGTGAGAACTTTCTTAGAAACACATCTGAAGAAGCTAGGGACTTGGCTGAAGGTCTAAGGTGTTCCTGTGATCAGGCTCAAGATGGGATGCATGGAGATGGAGACCCTAGTCATCACCTATGGCCGGGAGGAGGCAAGAGATGCTAACCTATGACAGGAAGAGATGAGCCAGTCACCCAGCCCAGTTCCTATAAAGACACCTAGCACTTTTCCTTCCAGTTCTCTCAGCTTCTAACCAACTAACCATCTGAAAAGAAGACAACACAAAGCCCAAGACATAGGAGGGAAAGACAAAGGAAAGAGAAAGCACATGTATGCTTGTGCCAACTCATGCGGATTCAAACCTGGAGTTCTTCAGAAATTAGGATGGATCAGGTGTGGGTATAAAGGATAGAAGTGGAAGAGTTCCTGAGGCCTGAAAAAGAGGTGAACACATCACAGAACTAGATGAGAGCTTCATTAGACTCGAACTAAAAACAGAGAGCAGTGTGATTACGATTTCCAGCCAGTTTTCCCATCACGATAGTCATATAACAAACCAAGGCAAAAATTTGAGCCAGACTCACAGAGTCCCCTGGCCCTGGCCCTGGTCTCAGTACAGTGTCTCTGCATTGCTGCTCCGGGGCCGTTTGATCTTCTCGATATTTTTCAGTATCATGTCATGTAGAGTGACATATTGATTCCTTAGCTCTGATATGATGAGCCGAAGACTGATATACTCTTTCTCATCAGTCTCTGTCACTGTGTGACAATAGTCCTCTACATGGGGGTATTTAGCTATTTTAGAAACCAATTTGGCTCTTGTAATATAATATCTAGAAATCTGGTCCAGATAAGATGCAGCTTCACTCTCCACTGTCCTTAGTTCTGCAACTGCCTCTTCCTGAATAGATACACCAAAGTTGTTCCCATCTTCTATCCTGGGAATCAGGAGTTGTACCCACATTTTAACCATGTTGCATTTCTCGATCAGTAGCCGGATCTCCGGTTTCACTTTGTCAATAATGTCCACCAGCTGCTGGTTGCTTTTTAGCATCCCATTGGGCATCACAAACACCTTGGTTCCTTGGAAGGCTTCTTCACACTCATCCAAACTTTGCTTCTTATAAGTGGGACCGTCCAGTCCATCATGGCTATTGGTGAGAAAAATGGGATCAGGGACCGGGAGATTCATGTCTGAGTGGATCTGAGTTAGGTCATGGATGTTTAAGATCGGTTCCTTCAAAAAACTATCAAGTTCTAACAACTTCTTTGGAAAAAAATTTGCCACCAAATCTTCTGCCTCACTTGTGATCCTCTCCCTGAAAGAATCAACCTTGAGCAACCTGATCTACCTTCAGCAACTAGGCCGTGGCTGGGTCGGGCTGTGTCCACTCGGCTGGAGACCAGAGGCGTTGTGGGCTCCGGGGTTGGGGCCAGAGGGGCGGGAGGAATCTTGGCTGTCTTCGGGACACTGCTGCCCTCGTTGGTTCACTCACTGCTCGCTCACTCCCTCCTCTGTGCTTTTGGCCTGCCCACCTGCCTGCCTGCTGCCTGCTTGCTCTCTTTTTTGCCCCTGAGTTAATTTTGTTTGAGGTTTTTCTTATCATTTTCTTCATTTGGTTGTTTTAATGTTTACTAAATCTTTATGATTTTCCGTGCTTTAAAATGAGATTTACTAATGTTCTTTGAGTTTACTCTGTATTCTATTAATTTATTCACCAGTTTAAAACCATCTGTTTGATCCTGAAATCTTTGTTATAAGTTATCTCTGATTCCCTATGTTCAGTCTCATAGGTTTGTTTGGCTTTAAATTGTTGTATATCTGGATTGACTTCTGAGTGGTGTTGTCATGTATGATAATCTCAGATTGTTGTCTGTGCTATTGGTTCTCTGTAAAGAACACCCTTTAGTGTTTTTTGTAAAGTTAGTCTGGTTATTACACATTCCTTTAATGTCTGTTTATCAGGAAATGTCCAAATTTCACCATTATATTTGAGGAAGAATTTTGCTTGGTGTATAATTCTTGGTTGGCAATTCTCCCCCGCTCCCCAGAGTTTTGTATATGTCATCCCATTGCCTTCTTGCCTGCATGGTTTCTACTGAGAAATCTTACTGGTTCTCCTTTGTAGGTAACTTTTAATTTTTCCTGAGCTGCTCTCAGAATTTTTTTCCTTTTCTTTGGTTTTGCAAAGTTTGGTTATGATATGTCTTGGTCATTTTCTTTTGGAATATATCCTCTTTGGGATTTGTTCAGCTTCCCTGTATGCTTATATTTTTATCTTTAATGATGTGAGGAAAGTTTTCTTCCAACAACTCTTTGATAATTTTTTGTGTGCATTTGTTTCTTCCTATTCGGAAATTCTGATCACTAACTCATAAGTTATTCTTTTTGATGGTGTCTCACATTAATTTTGTGCTTTCTTCACATTCTGCCCTTTTAGCTGATTAGCATTGAGCAATTTATCTTTAAACCCATTAATTTTAGCCTTTTGTTGATTCAGATCTCTTCCTTTGCCCTTTCAATGTAGTATCTATTCTTGAAATCTTAGTATTTATCTTCTGAATTTCTGTTTGCAAATTTGGTTTTTTCCTTATTTTGTCAGTTTGTTCTTGTTGTGTTTTCCTGCATTCTTCTGAAGTTTTTTTCTGTGTTATCTTTGCTTTCTTCTGTAGTTTTATTCATCTCTTTCTCAATCTGTTGAGAGATTCAATTACTCTTTTGAATTCTGTATCAGGTTGTTCTTTTTTTCTTCAGAAAATTTTTTTTTTTTCTTAAATGTTTTATTGTGAATTATGTGATAGTTTACATGGGAGAACATTAGTTTTACATTCATTCTATCATATATTGTCTCACTGCCATGGTTACAATCCCCTCCATGCAATCCTTCCTCCGTGCCCCCCAGGTCTTCAGCACACAGTCGCTCTCTCTCTCTGGATCTAAAAAGCTGCTCCATCGCTCCATGTCCAGAAATGTTTTGTGACTCTGCATGTTGTTCGAGCCACTTTGTCTTGCTTCTTTGTGTGAACTGAAAGTGTCTGCTGTCTCTAAGAGGTTGTTGTATTTGTAGTTCACTGATGATTGTATGTTGGTGTATTCTTATGCACTTACCACCTGCCTTGTATTGAGTGTGATTATGGAAGCATGTGAACTTGATGTTTGTGCTGCACAGCTCAGGTTGAGGTTAGCTGTTTTGAATTTTATTGTTGATCAGCTGTTGTAGGGGTTAGTAGTGGCTCTTGCCCAGATGTTGGGGCTGCAGAGGGTATGGTTGTGACTGGTGTGTGGGTGCAGTTCCTGTCTTCCGTTGAGTGGTACAAGAATAAACATATGCATACTGAAAAAAAAACTCACCAAGCAAACAACAGCAAAAAGGAGAAAAAAGAAAATAATAAAGGAGGAAAACAACAACAAAACCCAAACAGCTAGCAATGTTAAAAAAAGAACGTCGTAACTACAAAGAAAAAAAAGGGAAAGGAAAATAAAACAGCTGAAATGAAAAATAAGAGAAAAAATTTTAAAATGCACTATACAAAACTAGAGAGAGGGAAGAAGAAATGAGAAAGGGAAAAGATAGTGGTTAAAAAAAATTAAGAGGAAAAAAAGAAAAAGGCAATGTAAAGAAACAGCAGAAAAAAGGGAAATCAGAGAAAGGAAAGTTAAAAAAAAAAAAGAGGAGGGAAAGAGAAGAAGAAGGAAAAGAGGAGAAAACAGTGAAAGGAAAAATCTAGGGCTAATTCCAGACCCAGAGAGGAAAAAAACAGGGGTGGCGGGGGATGCTAAAAGGGTGATGTACCTGACCTGGATGGAGCTCCCATAGGCCTAGATGTTGTCTCTGTATAGGGTACCCAATCTGGAAGTAGTTTGTACAGTCCTTAATGGTGACTGAGTCCAGGGTCTTTGTTGTCAGAAAGAAACTTTCAGACCCAGAGGGAAGCTGGAGGCAGGGCAGCTGGTTATGAGAGTTCCTGCTAGCCTAGGACTGGCCAGGAATGAGCTCTTCCTGTTTTGCTGGTGTAGAGGCCTAGTTTACCTGCCTCCAGGCACCAGGGTGATACACCTAGTACCTTACTCAAAACTATTATGACTCTAACCTCTGACAGAGCAGGAGATGAGAATGGGGGCTGCCCACACTGTGGTCACCAAAGGAGTGTAGGGAGCAAGAGAGAATTGTACCTTTCTTGCTGCTAGCCACGAGTGTGCATCTGCTTTTGCTAGCAAAAGTTAAAGATGGCCCTACCCAGTGAAGCTACCCGACAGTTCACCCCTCTGTCTCCTTTCTACCACACTGTTCAGCTTCTCTAAGTCAGTCTTTTTTTTTCTTAAATGTTTTATTGTGAATTATGTGATAGTTTACATGGGAGAACATTAGTTTTACCTTCATTCTATCGTATATCGTCTCATTGCCATGGTTACAATCCCCTGCATGCAATCCTTCCCCCGTGCCCCCCAGGTCTTCAGCACACGGTCGCTCTCCCTCTCTGGGTCTAGAGTCTCCAGCTGCTCCATAGCTCC